GATATCTGCGATCTCTCTCTCTCCCTCCCTCCCTCCCTCTCTATGTGGACCCTGCGCTCTATATATGCCCATCGTGATTGAACTGGTGTATGCAATGTGACTGTGCCAGGTTAGGAATGAATTGAGAATAAGACAGACATGATATTGCGTATAAATCCAAAAAAAGGCAAAAAAATGGAAAATCCAAAAAATCCGAAATCCGAAATGTCTGTGTTATTGTGAATTCATTCCTAACCTGACACAGTCAGATTGCATAGAAGAGTTAAGGCACTAACAAAATACCCATATACCCAATATGCTTGTCCACTCCACAGACAGACAGACAGACAGACAGACGGACGGACAGAGATCGCAGATATATATATATAGATATACTAAATATGTCGACTTAATTTGATGACTTAAAAAGGTGTTATAATGCTGAACTATTTACGTTGGCCCAGCGGTTAACGTTACAACGGATGCCGCTACGTAAGATGGACTAGTACCTACACTATTATTGAGAAAAAGTACGCAGCGCATTTACTACTATTAAGAATTCCAAAAAATTTAACTTTATTTCCCAACTTTATCTACGATACGCCTTCCAGACTGGGCTGTAGGTATGTGTCGAAGTCAGTGTATACATGGCGTGCGCATTTAGCAACATTCTAGAAATACAACACGGAACATATTCGAAGCTAATCAGGTTGTGTATTTTACGGATTTGAGAGCGCATCGTGGCATCCTCGATGTGGCATACATAACCTAACGTAAAGCATTCCGCTTGTGTGTGTTATGGGCACGTAGCCACGATGCATTCCTAGCGTGTAAATAAATAAATAAATATATATATATTGTATGTATATTTTAATATATAAATAATACATCAAGTATGTGACGACAGGGAGTGGGCGACCACGACTATTGCCGCAATCCTGACTCGGACACGCGACCCTGGTGTCTGGTCACCACCTCCGACTATGAGTATTGCGACATTCCATCGTGTGACGTCGTAGACGATGACCAAGCGCAGGAGTCTACAGTAATGCCGTCCACGACACTCGGGCCGCACGGAGAAGCTACCACGCGTAGTGCGATTACTACTACCACCACCACCACTACCACTACCACTACGTGTAAGATGTACCACGTAAAGTTCTCTGTCCGCACTCAAGTGCAATCTCAAGTTCCCTGTCAGGACAGGTATAGCCAGGAATTATTTGTGCGCTTACGTGGAACGAGAAATGAAACGTTGCGTAATACACAAAGCACACCGATAAGAACTTCTACCTTTAAAGTTAACTTACTTATCTTGATGTCTGACTCATTCACCTTGACCGTATTTTTCTTGACATTTGCTCATAGCATCGACATCTGGCTTCGCGTGTCAAGATAACGAGTTCCAGTGCGCTCCCCTGCACGTCTGCATACCTGCATCATGGTACTGTGACTACGATGCAGACTGCGACAATGGAGCGGACGAGGCCGCATGCCGTACGTACACGTGTGCTGTCTGTCGTACTACCGCGCCATCACGACAGAATGGGAAGAGTGAGACAGGGACAGAGAGATAGATGGAATGATAGAGAGCAATCAATAGATAGCGATAGAAAAAGAGAGCGATCAATAGATAGACAGCGATAGATAAAGACAGCGATCAATAGATAGACAGCGATAGATAAAGAGAGCGATCAATAGATAGACAGTATCTAAAATTTCTATTTCTTATATATAACCTATAGTAAACTCAAGTTGTTTCAAGCGCGGCATACCATTGTCGCTTTTTTCCAGATGCACATGCATTCTGGATCGGGGGACATTTAACCGGAGGTGAATGGCTTTGGAGCAAAGGAAACGGACGGACTACGGAAATCGAATTTACAAAGTGGTTTCCAGGTAAAAATATACAATAAAAATACGAACAGGAAGCGTGCTGTTTCGTGTTTATTGGGTCAAAGCGTTGAATCAATAACAAATCCTAATCTATTGATATTATCGTCAGTGGCATGTACTCTAAGGGCACATGCATTAAAGTCGCATTCATTAAACAATTGGCTTAATCCTAGTTTGGAACTCTAGTATACATATCATGGTCATCAATATCCCCCAATAATCAATCCTAACCCATAACCTTAATCCACAACCCTAACTCTAACCCTATCCCTAACTCTAATCCCTAAGCCGAAGCTTCGCCAAACTTTAATCCCTAGGCCTGAACACTAACCACCACCATAACTTAATCCTAATCCTAACCCAATCCTAAGCATATCATTAAAATCCGGTGTCCCTAAGTAGGGTTGAACAAAACGCCAACATTGCTGATACAAATATGCTTATTTAGGGTTTTCTCCCGATGGATTCAACGATAAACCTTCATCGTTGGCAAGCTATAGTCACATGTCTCTCGCGCGAAGCTTCATCAATGCCAACGCCAAGATGATAGAAGTCGACTATTACTATTGGACTAACCTCCCCGGTGGCGGCTCCATGCGGCTACCATATATCTGCGAGAAGAGACTACCAGACGAAGGCACGATTACCCAATATCTTTCATAGTTATGTGCTGTAGTCTGACAACGTAAGTCGTCGAGAATCAACGCCATAGTGGTGGCCAGGGACTCGCCTGGAATCGAGTTTAGTTTTGCGTGGTTTCTTAATATGACTATAGAGTGCATGCTAAGTTTCAAAGGTTTGGTGTACTATTATTCACACAAGAGTACTACACGAGTAGAGGAGAAAGCTACGAACGGGTTTCGCTTATGATCGCTCAGTTAGAGTGTTCGTCTAAGTGTCTACGATATTTTTTATATGTAGTGTCTTCCACTCAAGGTTGCTACATTGGTAAGGGAGAGGACTACCGCGGCAATGCTTCGACTACACTCAGCGGCAAGACGTGCATCAACTGGGGCGACAGCACGATCCTAGACTTTGTCGGTTACTTTGCTGACGAAGTAAATGAGATTTTCTTAGTTATTATAATTTAATACACATAAGACACACACACACACACACACACACACACACACACACACACACACACACACACACACACACATACACACACACACACACACACACACGGGCGCGGGCGCGCGCGCGCGCGTACATGCACGCACGCATGCACGCATGTACACATACGCATACATCACTCTCTCTTCCTCTCCCTCCTCGTCACCCCTCTTCGCTCTCTCTCTCTTCCTCCCGCGCTCTTTCTCTCTCGCTCTCTCGCTCTCTCTCTTCCTCTCCCTCCTCGTCACCCCTCCTCGCTCTCTCTCTCTTCCTCCCGCGCTCTCTCTCTCTCGCTCTCTCGCTCTCTCTCTTCCTCTCCCTCCTCGTCACCCCTCCTCGCTCTCTCTTCCTCTCGCTCTCTCTCTCTTCCTCTCGCTCTCTCGCTCTCTCTCTTCCTCTCCCTCCTCGTCACCCCTCTTCGCTCTCTCTCTCTTCCTCCCGCGCTCTCTCTCTCTCGCTCTCTCGCTCTCTCTCTTCCTCTCCCTCCTCGTCACCCCTCTTCGCTCTCTCTCTCTTCCTCCCGCGCTCTCTCTCTCTCGCTCTCTCGCTCACTCTCTTCCTCTCCCTCCTCGTCACCCCTCCTCGCTCTCTCTCTCTTCCTCCCGCGCTCTCTCTTCCTCTCGCTCTCTCGCTCTCTCTCTTCCTCTCCCTCCTTGTCACCCCCTCCTCTCTCTCTCTCTCTTTCTCTTCCTCTCCCTCCTCGTCACCCCTCCTCGCTCTCTCTCTCTTCCTCCCGCGCTCTCTCTCTCTCGCTCTCTCTCTCTCTCTCCTCC